TACAATGGGTGGGGAGATCAGCAAATACTTTGTCCGATGTGTTAGCCAAGCAAGGGGTAAATAGGGAAGAATTGTTTTGGGCTCAGCTGTGATTCCTGCATTTTTTTCCTAGTTTACTTGTAAGATTCAAGGAGGGGTTGCAGCTCGCACCTCTCACTGGGATGTTGTATGAATTCACAACTCTAAATCAACTTCTGAATTAATAAATTTACTATTATTAATCAAAAAACTATAGTTTTTTATACTGATTGCAAAGTATCATTAGAGTTAGGAATTAGAACCCTTATTTAAGTGTACTAATGGGTAATTTTTCTCTTAATTTTAAAGTAATTAGAAGCGATTTTGGTTAGTTTCCTAGTCCAAGTAGGAGTCAAGAGACACCTAAGTTCAAAAGTTGAGTCTATAAAGTGAGTTGGAGTTGAAGGGTTGATTTGTGAGTCTAGTATTCCTGCATATTTCTTATTTTTCTTTTATTCTCTTTAGTGTTTACCCAACAGCAAGAGTGCTTCGCTATATTTCTAAGTTCTCGTTCATTCCTTGGTAGACAACAAGCATTCTACTTGCTTTTCCATCCATATTCTTCATCTTTAATCACCCACAGCCCCTTAGTCACCTTCTCAAGCCCACCACCGGTTAACAAAATTTGTAGGACTCTACCTTATCCTACATCACCCCTGACTACTTTTTTTGTGAGAAAGTAAAGTATAATTGTATTAATATAAAGCAAAACATGTTTGCAAAAAGTTGATGTTCTGAGGACTATAAAAATTCTGCCCTGCTTTACAAAAAGATTGCCATGTACAAAAAAGGAATTATAACCTATATTATTAAATAGCTTATGACAACCAAGCCAAGAAAACATTTTTCCCAGGATTTTCTGAAAGACAGAATCTGTAGAGCTCTTTCCCTTTTAAAAATTTGTGCAATTCCCACCTGCAATATACACCAAAAAACCACAGCTAGGACTATATTCTAAAACAGTTCTCTTTCACTCCACCCTCCATCCCATTAAAAATTCCTCTACTTATCCAGGGCAGCAGCTTTGCACTTCTAATGACTATAATATCCCGGCCCATAATTCAAAAGAGAAACTGCAATTTAATAGGAGGTGATTCACTGTTTCCAACAGTCCTTCACACAAAGCACATTTAGCTGAATCCAGCAACATACCCTTGTGTAAGAGATTGTCTCTAGTGTGTATTCCGCTTAGGTAAGCGGTTCAAACAAAACAATTTTCAATTTTTTGAAGACATTCTTACACTACAAGATGTTGATTGGGACTAACTGCTCCTTTGCACTGTCCAAGCCCTTGTAAAATCACTTAACTGTGAACTTTCCTGTCTTCTCCCACTGCCAAAACCTATGGTCAGGCCTACCATTTTCCACGTGTATTATACAGAACATGTAGCATATATCAACTCCACTTCCCAATCATTTAGATTTCTTCTGAACTGTGCAGTCCAAACCACATTGTCTTCTTGCTACTGCATACAATGTACAACTCTAGGCCTCTAGCTTTTTTATCAATCCCCAATTCAAAAAGAGCAGGAAAAGCTTCAGACAGAGACCTTTCTCTGCACCAAGCATCCTTTCAAAAGCACTGTGAGCTTTCCCAATTCCTTTCCAAACTGAGCAGCCATAGTATTAATAGGAGGCTCCCAGATCCCATCACCCCTGCTATTTTATGTGTGAAAGAGAAGGGATATTAGAGAAGGATAAGACCCAAGAAGTTTGCATCCAGAAAAAATCTTGAAAATCTACCTGGATTAGGTCCCTTTGTCAACTACAGGAATTTCCTGGGACTTAGAGTTTAGAAAAGACTTTACAGATCATGAAAAGTAAAGAGATGATTATTCTTACAGGCCTTCTTAAGGTTGTTCTCTTGTTCCTAGAGAGTTTGAATCAAAGAAACTAGGCAATTGAAAGATATTTTTCTTGTACATCCTTTCCTCATCAGTTTTTTCCTGTATATCCTTTTTCAGAAGCCCTTGAAGAGCCTTCTTTTCCCCTACACATGTCCCAGTCAAAACACTTAGGATGGGCCACACCCCTCCAAAAATCAAAACCTCTATAGAAGGGAGCCACATCAAAGACAAATAAACGTAAGGGGCACACACCAACATAAAAGGAGATCCTGGTGCCTCTCAAGTCTCATCTCATTTTTTCATACTCTACGTAAACGTGACAGGAGAGAAAACCAATAATCCATTCCTCTCTTGCCAATTCATGTCAAAGGTTTTGAACCACTTTTTCCCTATTCTTGGGTACTTCATTGAAAATGCACTATGAGATATCAGGTACATTCTCCTCCACTTTGATCCCCCTTAGCACAAAACTGAGCAAATTACTTTGTCATTAAACAAGAGCTGCAATTCAAGGACAAAGCCTGTGCCCCCCACAATTGTTGTTTTCTGTTGGGAAGTGTACCTTGGTATGATTAATACTTTGGAGAACTTACAAAAGAAAAAGCCTTTTATTTGTTTGTCCCCAAACTGGTGTGTACTGTGCAATTCTCATAGTGAGGACAGTTACCACTTACTAGTTTCTTGTTCCTTTGTTGCAGCTCTTTGGGATTGGATGTTTGTTTTGTTTAGATGTAGGTGGAATCAACCAGCAGAGGTCAAGGTTCAAAGTATCAATACGATACGAGTTTCGGTTGTATCGTATCGGTACTTAGAAACAGCCGATACATACTTTTTTTTAGTTTTTTTTTCAAAGTTTAGTTTTTTGGGAAGCTTATAAGATATCTTTTATTATTAAAAAAAATTGGGGGTCCGGGTGTTTCGGACCGTTTCTTTTTCAAAAGATACGATACGATATGCCCCATATCGGGCGTATCGTATCGATACTTTGAAGCATGGCAGAGGTAAAATCATTATTCGCACCAACTACCTTTGCTTTCCTAACAAAAAGAGGGAGGAGTATGTGGAGATGATTCAAAGCAGCCACCTTATGGACAATTTGGGAAGAAAGAAGCACTAGAATTTTCCAAGATAAAGAGAGGTCATTTATAGAAGTGAAGAAATGTATCTTAACCAGGACCATCCATTGGTTGAAATCCTTGGCTACTTCATCTCTTTTTCATTTGATGACATCTGGAGAAATTGGGCCACAGTTGCACACACTTCGGTTAGAAAAAACCAGAGCCATCACAGTTTGGGTAACTCCCCCAGAAGGTTTTTTTTAACTGAATTTTGACGGAAGCAGCCAGGGTAACCCAGGACCGTCTGGCATTGGAGGAGTATTGAGGAATGAAAATGACAACATCATATCCTTATTCTCAGGCCCAATAGGGATAAGGGACTACAAGAGCTGAGATAGTGGCTCCAGTACAGGGAATTCAGATTGTTAATCAACTAGGAGTGGAGAACCTATTGATTAAAGAGGATTCTAAGGTGATTGTGGGCTGGCTGTCAAATCCAGACTCAATTGTTTGGAGTTATTAGGATCTCATCAAAAAAGTTAAATGTTTAACAAGGAACATAACATGTAGATATCAGTGGGTGGGTAGGGAGGCAAATGCTTTGGCTGATCATCTTGCTAAACAGGGGTCTACTAGGGACCATTTATTCTGGGCAGCATTGTAATTTTATTTCTGATCTCTTGTAACAGTTAGGCGAGGCTGCATCTTGTGCCTCTCCAAGGGATTCTTGTAAAATTTTATTCCTCTTGTTTAATGAAATCGTTTTCAATTATCAAAAAAAAAAGAGCTGCAATTCAAGGACTGAGAGTATTTGGAGATAAACAAATTCAATAGAGCAAAACTTTGATGTTATCATTGACCTCATACTGCTGAAAGAGGCATATTGGGTATTGACATTTGAGGAATTAACAGGGGATTCAATGGATTCATTAAAAAGCGGGTCCTCACTTCCTACTTCCTTTCCTAGAAGACAAGACACAAGAGGTAGTTGTCTGTTTAGCAGAACCTGAAGCAGACAAGTTAGAACTGAAAATACTAACTTTGATAACAGTTGTCTTGGTAACCCAAGTCAGTGAGAGGGGGTGTGATAAGTGATCAACAGGTATCATCTTAATGAGCTATTCAGGCCCTACCAGGAAAGGCAACTAACTCCTTGAGGGCTGAAATGGTTGTACATCAGGATTTAAAACTAGCTTAAAAAAAGGTCCAACCTAAGCTTTGAAGGAGATTGTCAGTATCCAGATCTGCCTATAGCCTTCCCGATTAGTTATGAAGAGCTGAAGTGACCAGAGAAAAGCCAGACTGCTAGTGTGGGGGGCTTCTTAACAAGGTTTAAATCTTTGACATTGGATTAAAGGTGATAATATTTGGAGCATGTCAGCCTTTGGCTGTTTTGTTGCACCAGTTCTCCTTCCCTTTCTATTGGGATTGTGGGGCTTCCTTAACATAATGATAAATCTAATTATTACTACTGCTAAAAAATAAGAAAACACAATAACTTGATTTAGCTTCAATGTGCATTAATACCACAAACTTCCTAAAGAAACACTAAGTACACTACAAATCAACAATAATAACAGAACACTCCAGCTTATAAAAGAATCCAACCCTTTGGCCACTTCCTTGACTTCATCTTTGACATATGAAGTCAAATTACTAGGATAAATTGCCCAAAAAAGTACTAATTTCAAGCTAAGTATCATCTTGCACAATCAACCTTCCATGAATAGTTATGTGCATCTGCAAACCCACATAATTAACTATGGTTGATTCAAAAGAGCATTACCCACACTAGTCCATACTATTGCAAGCACACAACCATCTTTTATTCACCAAATTTCCACAATATGGTCTTTTACACTGATAAAGAAAAATATATAAAACAAAGCATTCAAATCCAGAGTTCAGTCAAGAGCTGAATCTATGGGCAAGTTAATGAACAAGCCACACCAAAATGTATATTTAATGAGATGTTAAAGTTTTTCAATACTCTAAATTATAAAGGTAGGACAGGATTCCAGGAATGGAATAATACAAGCCTATGTGTGCTAAGTAAATATAAAACAGACCAATGTACCTGCAATCTAAATGGTTTCACACCAAGAAGTACAAGTCGTTCAAAGAGAGATTGGGCTAGCCCGGCTCGCGCTGCTTTCTTGCACATGATCACAGGACCAAGTTGACAGTGGTCTCCAACAAGAACAACCTAATTTGGAAAGAAACATAGTTAGATACTGAAGTGACAATAGCAACTGTTAGATAGGAGTATACTAAACCGTCAAGCACCTGTTTCACACCAAGCACTAAAGGAATCAGGCATTCAGGTTCTGTTGCCTGGGTAGACTCATCAATAAGAACCTGGAAGTAGAACACAAGATCTTACCAATCAACACTAGAAACATGATATTGCACATTTAGGTATGTAGTCATATAGGCAAATTTATCAACCTGGCGGAATCTAAAATTTGCCAGTCGAGGATCCCCAGCACCAACACATGTGCAACAGATAACATCAGCACTCTGAGATATTTCCCTCTCGGTTGCCCTTTTCAAGGCCTTGTACTTCTTCTCATCACTACTAGACAGTTCACCTATAAAAAGTAAAGGCATCAGATAAATGGGGACAGGGGAATATCAGTTGACACATTTTTTTCTGATAAAGTATTGCATTAATAAGAAGAAAATACAAAACTTAATCATGTAAAAGAGGGATTGTACAATGGCATATACAGAATATACAAAATAAGTATTAACCAAATAACAGTTCAACCACCAAAGCACCTATCACACCAACAGCATAAGTTTGGCTATGCTGCTTAGCAAAATTGTACTGCTTCTTTGTGCTACCAGCCAATATACCAAGACTCTTACCAGATAAACTATAATTTCCATCCACGAGTCACCTTTTTTACATTAAAAAATCACCTTTAAATGATAACCAAGGTCAAGAATTATGTAAAGAACTAGCTATATAATAAACAAATAAACAAAATTAATTATTTAAACATCTTGTGATCAACCAAAACATGTCATATCAATCTTAAAAATAATCATGATGCAAATGGCACATCTGATGATATATAAGAAATTTACACCCAAAATGTGCTTTTGGATGAATTTGAACTTGAGAAATAAAAAACTAAACCTTAGAATTCAAACAAGGAGAGTCTGGCACTCAAAACTAAACAAACACCAAGCAGAAACAGCTATTGAGAAAAAGAAAAGATTGCTTTAAGATAATTATATATTTCCATACATAAACATTCTAGATTCCAGCATATAATCAAGGCTCAGATACAATGACAAAGCCTATATCAACAAGAGGCTACATGACAATAGATGTGTGAATGTTTATTTGCATCCAAAAGGTGGAAAATAATATGCTAGTAAACAGATCTTTGTTTGTGTGCTTAGATGTCAGTCACATGGTTTTGAAGGCGCCAAGGCAGGTTCCCCTAAACATATCTTTCATTCTTTGTTTGTGTGTGTGTGTGTGTTTAGATGTCAGTCACAAGGTTTTCAAGGCACCAAGGCAGGCTAGGAATCGAGGGGGTCCCTTGTCACCTAGGTGCATAAAAACCTCAAAGGCTTGAATCCTAGGGTAACTCCTTAGGTTTCGTACAACCAACAACCATCTTTCACTAATAATTATCGATAATATTCATAAAAAAAGCATAAATTGCATACTGAGCATAGAAAACCAACATGTTTTTTATTGGTGACAGGCAATTACATTGATTTGGAAAAAAGGGATATAATTACAAGAATAATAAAGTGCCAAGAACTCAAATCTCCCCAAAGTAGTGACTTATCCCCCTTTCCCCCAGTGTTTGAAACCATGTTACAATTAACTCATCTTAGAAAATCAACATATTCATGAAAAGAAAAATAAGAAAGAAAATAAATTTCAGAAAATACATGGACTGAGCTCATGTTTTTGTCCTAGGAAAACAAAAAAAAAGGAAGAAGAATGTGTTGATTGGACAAAACATCAAGTTCTTCCTACTTTAAGTCTTCAAGGGTTCAAATAGCATACACCAGCATGTGTCAATTGAACCCAAACAAAATAAATTTCTATAGTGTTAATCTAATCTAAGTATATATAATATATATTAAAACAAAGTCATCAGATTAGAGAGCTTCTCCCTCAGAAAAGTGGCATCATATTTTCTCAAGAATGAGCATCCCAAAAGTGGTTACTCCCGCTCTCAAACAAAAGCTTAGTGGTAGTTACCTCCACTTTCAAAAAGGTTAGTGGTAGTTGCCTCCACTAAAAAGAAAACAAAAAACAAAACTCATATCATATGATATAAGATTCATAAAGTAGGTTATTATTTAGAAATAAAACTTGATTTACTATTTAATTAAATAACGAAAAAGTGGATGTCAAATAAAGCTTATCAGAATAATGAATAAAAAAAAATATGAGAATACTAGCCCTGTACTTAGTACATGGGGCCATTCTCTAGTAGGAATACAAAAGAATGACAAAAATAACATACTGGATATTCCCATCCAACAAAATGGAGAAGCAAAAAAGTGCTAAAAAGTGCAAACCTTGTTCATCCTTCAGTTGCTGCAGCTTATGAAGTTCACTCTTTTCAGATGTATCAAGATGTCGGACCTGTACAAACCGTACATAGAGTCATGTTGTACAGAAAGCATATAAATGTGAATTATACCCCATAAGTTCACCATGTTGAATGTGACTGTACTGCAACATGGGTCAGGTTGGATTAAGCATTTGTCAAATTGCAAATGGGCCTCAGCCTGATGCAGTTGAAGTTGTTTAACTCAGGCAGACAAATTGCACCCATGTATAAGCAAGCCAATCACAAACCTGATAATGCAATGTTAAATGCTCAACAGGAGAGCTCACAGCTTCCCTTGATTTAGCACAAAGCCTGACAACCTGAGAAGTAAACATATATCATAGATCAGTTAACAAAGCAAGTTGTTTCAATGCCTACACAAAAATAATAATAATAATAATAAAATGAACAGTTAACTCCTGAGCTGAAAACCGTTAACAATTAAAGAACTGAGTTTAAAGTTGATGGTAGAAATAAGTGATTTATCATAGTGCACCTTGGTAACACATTTGCCACTAAATAATGCATTTAGAGAACTAATACCAGAATGAAATATGACAAAATTTAACACAACAAATGAACAAATAAATTAATTCAACTCTAACAAAAGTGGATAAAGTTAAAACATAATTTGGTCAAAATCTTCCAAATAACAAAAAAGATAACTCACAATATATGACAAGTATGCCTATCTCTATTTAAACAGGTTTCTGACTTGATAAAAAGTCAACAACTATAAAAACTTAAGTTTAGGGTTTAGGCATATGGCTTATCAACAAGGAACAGAGGTTTTTATTATTGGCATCCCCCTTCTTTCTGTCACCAGGACACCAGCGTCTCGTATAATGCAAATAGGGTATAAAGAATTGAATAACTAGTTTAAGAGGAAAAAGAAATGGAGTTCGTGCAGGCACGTCAGTGGAGGAGATCCTTGAAGATAGAAGCAAAAAATTTCCTGTTCGAAGAAATGAGAATCAAGGGGAAGGTAAGCCTGAAGGTAAGGGAAGCGAAAAAGGGTACAATATTGCTGGAAGGATTAGAAGTGATCGAGTGGCTAAGAGAGTTCAAGGCTGGACTTGTTCAAAAGGAAAGCAGATAAACTGGCAGGATTTTAGTACATTAGAAAGGAGAAGATATGTTGTTGAATATAAGAGGAATAGAAAAAGGCTTCTTCATAGCTTTGGCTGAATTTTTTGGTAAGGGACGAAGGCAACTGGTGTGTCTACCAGCAGGAAAACAGAGCCAAGGATGGGCGGAAGTTGACTGGTTGCTCAAAGAGTTTTTAACTCAAAGAGTAGCAAATGATAAAAAAGCCTCCATAAGGGAGGAGAAGGCATATCTCAGCAACAGCAGGGTAGAACAAGGGCCAGTGGTCATGGCAAAAACAAAAGGCCAATGCAGAATGGTGGGAGGTCTAGAGAGAGAAGAGTGGGATAGTAAGTTTGTGATACAAGCCAAGGAAAAGGTTAATGATTGGAGGTGGGTAGCTGACTTACTGGCAACCAGGTTGAAGCTGAAGAGTGTCTTCATAGTAACCCCCTTTGATAACTGTAAAGCCCTCCTAGATTCAGTAGAGAATGAATTGGAAATATCAGCTATCAACATTCAGGCTGATTCGGATCATTCACAGTCTTTAAATGGAATCTAACATCCAACTCCAAGGATTTATTTGTCAAAAATGGTGTGGTGGTGCGTGTAATAGGCTTGCCATTACATCTGTGGAAACAAGAAGTAGCAGAGTTTATAGGAGTATTGTGTGGAGGAATCTTGAAAGGAGCTTTCTGGGATGATCTTTATTCAGTAGCAATCCTGCTAAGTGGTGTGAAGCCAGAAGGCATTCCACGAAAGGTAGAGGTACRAACAGAGGGGAGTTTTGTCTCTGTGTGGCTAGCATCCTCCATTGAAGCAAGGCTGTGGAAGGAGGCTCGTATGGTAGGAGGGGAGAAGGAGGAAGAAGAAGCATTACGTGGACTTGTGAGATTGGTTAATTCAAATGGGAAGGAATGTTTCACTAAAAAGGGCCAACAAATTMWGGGAAGCCAAAAAKCYTTGGRGYAGATGGAAGGTCAAACCTGTAGAAAGCAAGAAAAGGCTATGACAAATGGCAGATCTTTTGCGCAGGTGGTGTCAGGGGAAATAGACAAAAATATACCAATGTCTAATGGAAGAGGGCGAGGGCTGAACCAGCAACCTCAGACAGGGAGGGTTGCTGTTTCGACAATTAAAACAGGGGGGCGTGATTTGTTAAGAGGTCACGTGGGAGGAAAAGACTTAGAAAATAGGCCAAGTCGAGTGGATCCCTTTTCTGGTGGGCCGGAGAAGGCAACTTAAGTAAAGGTTTTAAAGCTGGGTTCTTATATTACAAGTTCTGAGCCCAAGGCCCATTACAAGACAGATGGGCCAAGGGACCCTTTAAGTAAGCACGTGACTGAGAGGAGGGATGAGCTGATAAACGAGATTAAGCGTCTATCTTTTTCTACCCCGAATCCCTCCTTTCGGTCGAACAATTCAAGCGCAAAATCTCATGACTCTCAGTCTCAAGGCTCTACAGTGGATCCCATCCAACCTAGCGAACCGTCTCCCACCAGATAGGCACAACCCAAGATACCTGAAGCCTAGTTATTTGAACAGAACAGGGTTTGAAGATTGGTTGAGTGAACAAAACAACAGTGACGATTCTGATAGAGACGAAACTGTAAGTTTGGGAAGTCTGTCTCCGAAAAGCAACAACGATTTACTTGAAATAGAAAGTTTGCATACAGAGCTGTTGTTTTTAGAGGAAGAGATTGAAGAACCAGGTAGCGGGAAGACTAGACATGGCGAAGAAAATGGTCCTAAAGCTGTGAAAACTCCTCTTCCCTACGTCGAAGGAGCTGACCCTAAGTCTAATGAATTACAAGATGTTAGTGGAGAGGGACAAGAATCGGCCGTGAGGATGGATGTGGGTATTCCAGTGTCGGAAACACAGAGAAAGGATTTCCAAGTGGGTAGGTTGTCAGGAAGTGATTCTTTCACTATGTCTACTTCACAACTTTGTCCAAAAAGGAGAAAGGCCTTAAAACCATTTGTCGTCTGTCAGCAACTCAATTCCAGTGATTCTAGTCCTACCCCCGTCTTACCAGGTATGGGTGTCAATTCTTTTTTAGGTACTGACTTGTGTGCTAGGCCTATAACAGATATTCCAGCTTCCCATCCAGGAGGTTCTGATGCAAGAGAAAGGGTGATGGAAGGAAGTAGTAAGGGGGAGGCAGACAGAATTTGGGAGTTGATCTGTACAATGATGGAGGAACTAAAAAAAAAAAGGAAGGATTCTTAGAGAGRTGTTGTAGCCAAAATAAGTGTGAGCAGGGTAAAATTCTTCCTCAGACATTAGCAGAAAAGGATGGAGAAAAGAAAGGGAGGATGATTGTTGTATGAGAAAAGAAAGAGGCTAAAATGAGGAGATTATGGCCTTTTCATGGGTTTTTTGCTATTTTGTCTCGATGAAAATTATTAGCTGGAATGTAAGAGGGTTAGGAAGTGCAAGAAAGAGAAGGGTGATCAAAGACTTACTCTGAAGGGAAAAAACCCGATATTGTGTTGTTACAAGAATCCAAAATGATGGAATTAGATGGGAGATGGGTGAGGAGTTTTTGGAGGTCTAGAGGTTTAGGTTGGAGCTCGTCTCCTTCTTGGGGAGCCTCGGGGGGGATCGTAACACTRTGGAGGGAGGATGTGGTGGAAGTAGTGGAAGAATTGATAGGTAGATTTTAATGTCATTAGATTCTCTGATGAAACCAGTAATCCCCAACAGGTAATTACAACAAGCATGAGGAAATTTAATGGTTTTATTGAAGAATGTGAATTGAAGGAAATACCTCTGCTGCAAGCCAGTTACACTTGGTCCAACCTTCAGGAAACCCCTTTGTGTTCGAAGTTGGACAGGTTCTTATTTAACCWTGCCTGGGAGAATAGTTTGACAAACTTGATTGCTAGAGCGTTACCCAAGGTCACCTCCGATCACTGTCCTATCCAGATAGGTACTAAGTTTTTTCCTACAGGACCCAAACCTTTTAGATTCGAAAACATGTGGCTTACCCAACCAGATTTTGTGAAAAAAGTGAAGGAATGGTGGGGTGAGGAGGAGAGGGGGGTAAAATGGAAGGGGATCAAGTTTCATACGAGATTAAAAAGGTTGAGAGCCAAAATAAAAGAGTGGAATAGCGATCATTTTGGTAGAATTGAGGAGCAAAAAGTGTGCCTAATCTCTCGAATAGAAAACTTGGATGTAAAGGAATCTCAAAATGGGTTGACCGAGGAGGA